TTGTCTTTAAAAGTCTTTGCTTATACTATCATACATAATAAAATCCAATAAGATACAACCTGTTTAGACCAATGGAGACAGAAGAACAAAAGCTTGATGAGACTTCAAAACAAGATGATACTAAATCAGTATTACATATTAAGACATCATTTTCTCCAAAACAGCTGTTCCTATCATCCAATCATCTCTGCCTCATTTCTGTTGAGCTCTTTTTCTGTCATTAGTTGTCAGTTTGTCTTCTTCATTTTGTTTTCTGCTCCATTCATTGTGGCCTCTCTGCCGCTACTTCTGGATTTTTTGTATTTTTCTTTTTTAGAATATCTTGCAGTGTTCTCTGTAGAGTTGAATTGGTGGTTGCAAATTCCCCCAGTTCCTCTTTATCCTGGAAGCACCTTGTTTTTCCATCAATGTCCAGGGACAGTTGTGCAGGATATCTCAATCTTGGCTGGAGATTATTATCTTTCAAAGCTTCAATTATTTCCCCCCACACTCTTCGTGATTTGATGGTTTGTACAGAGAAATCTGCTGTAATTCTGATGGGTGTTCCCTTGTAAGTGGTCTGTTTCTTGTCTCTGACAGTTTTTAATATTCTGTTCTTGTATTGAATTTATGGAATTTTTATTATTATATGCCTGGGTGTTGCTCTGTTTGGGTTGTAGGTGGCTGGGGTTCTGTATGCTTCATACAACTGAGTATCTTTACCTTTTGCTAAATTAGGAAAATTCTCCTGGATTATTTCTGTGAGTAGCTTTTGTAGTTCATTTGTTTGTGTCCCTACTTCTTCTTTTATGTTCTTAATTCTTAAGTTATGGATCGTCTTATCATCTTCTAGTCTTTGTATTATTGCTGTTTGTTTCTTTGTTACTTTTAAGAAGTTTTTCATTTCATTCTCCCATATTACAAATCTGCCCTCCAGTTCAGATAGTCTGTCCTTAGTTTCTTTCAAGCTGTTATGCCAGTTTTCGATAGACTTTTTAGTTTCCTGGTAGTCTCTTTGAACCTGCTTCATGTATTCTATGCTTTCTCTTTTTTCTCCATCAAACAATTCTCCCCTCTTTTTCTGTTCTCCCATTCCACCATCCGTTTTTTCTTGGGTGGTGCTTAGCATTTCTCTAACTATTCTGCTTATGTCTAGCTTCAGGCCATTAATAACTTCATTCCTGAATTCATCTATGAAGCTCTCTAGATGGCGCTTTATGTGTATTGGTGTGGTGTCCGCTCTTGCCTGTTTCTCAGGATTGGAGGCCGAAGGGCCTTTCTTATTGCTCCCTCTTCCCATATTCTTTGTTCCTTATATATGCAAGCATATATAGGAGGCCCAGCTTCCCTCCCTGTCAGCTACAGCCTGATCGAATTGTGCTGGCTAGGTGTTCCCGCCCACCGCAGCACACCAGGAAGTTGCAGACCAGGCAGCCTACATGGGGCCCGCCCCTCCAGGCCACCCTCAGGCTCTGGGATCTGGGTTGTGCTAGCCTACTGGGTCTCGGCCAGCAGCGTCACGTAGGCTAGGCACTTCTCACCAATCCCGCTTGAGAGGGGGATAGGTGGCTGAAGTCACTGCAGCGCCCCGCTCCCGCAAGTCTGCCCAGTCCCGGAATGTCCTCTGTTGGAGTCTCCTGGACCGTGGGAGAGTCCCAGTTTTCCCTCACTCACCAGAGGTGGATGCATGGCTCCCCGCCCGTGCTGTTTTTAACTCCCTTCGCTGATTCCTGTTCTCAGAGCTTCCGTGCGTCTCTCTCCCTGCCGAGCCAATGTAGACGCAGCCGCCACGTGGTGGGAAATCCAAATCGCGGCTTCCAATGGCGCGGGCTTCAGCTTCCACACTGAGGCTTTTCTGTTCCTGTTATAGCACCAGGATTGCATTCCAAGTTGGTTTCTCTCAGCCCGTTCTTGGGTCAGCAGGGCATATCTCCACTTGCTTATGATTCCTTACTCCACACCATTCATGAATTTTTAGCTGGGTCTTTCAGAGAGCCTCTGTACCTGCTGCTATCTGTCCGCCATGTTCTCCCAGAAGCCCCACATTTTTTATTCTTAAGTTATAGATCCTGTTGTCATTTTCTAGCCTTTGTATTGCTATTTCCTGTTTCCTTGTTACTTTTACGAGACCTTTCCTTTCATGATCACATATTGCAAGCCTGTCTTCAAGTTTTCATAGTCTATCTTTAGTTTATTTCAGGCAGTTTTGCAATCTTTCAATGTAGTTTTTAATTTCCTGGTAGTATCTTTCAATATGTTTCATGTATTCTACACTTTTTTATATTCTTCATCAAAGGTTTCTCTCCTTTTTCTGTGACCCTCCATTCTTCCATCTGTGTCTTCTTGAGACGTGCTTAGCATTTATTTTATTAGACTTCTTATATCTTGCTGTACTTGTATTAGTATTTCTGTTTTGAGGTCTTCTATAATGTCACAAAGATATTTCTTTATGTCAGCTGATGCTGTTTCCAATACTTCATGTCTGCTATCCTTGATCTCTTCTGTAATTACCTCTCCTAGACCCATACTGTTTGAATTGGTAGCTGAAGACAGATTTTTCTTTCTTTCTCTTGTTATGTTTCTGGTTTCTTCCCGACAAGTGCATAGTGTGGGTCCCAGGCCCTTTCTGTATTGGTTATGATTTCTTTGAAGTCAATGGTGAGGGATTTCTGCCCTCTCCCATTTGCTGTTGATCAGTGAGGTACAAGCAGGGGTAGTGCAGGCTGGCCCCTCCCCTCTGAGCCAGTCAACCATGTGAGTCTTCACCATCTTAGTGTGTACTGCACAGATGGAACTGGCTCAGGACTGTTTCAGGGGCAACTTCATCCCTGGCTATTGGGTCCCATTCCAGGGGCATGACCCATTTGAAGCAGTTCCCCCCAATCTGCTCTGCATCAGGAGAGGCCAAATGAAGCAACTACAGTTCCATATTCAGGCCCATCCTGCCTGATTCCAGCATGTCACCCAGCTGATCACCACCTCCTGCAGGAGGACCAAATTCCAAGCACTCACCACAGGCTAGTGTAGATCTCCATGCCAGCTCCATTCTCTGTTGTTACACACCTTCCTACTAAGGTCCTCAGGCTCAAAAACCCCCAACTTCAGCAGGACTGTGAGTTGTTGGACTCCAGGGTGCTTAGGGCAATGTGGAAGTATCTCTGTTGAATGAAAGTGCATCTGGATTCAGGCTTCCACCCATGTTTTTCTTTCATTTTTCCTTGGCTTTTTCCTGAGTCATGGGAATCCCTCTCCTTTTTTCTGGTCTTCTCCATGGCATTAAATTCTAGCATCTTAGCTGTTTCTCTCAGAGAGCCTCGCTATCTTGCTACTTATTGATCTGCCATCTTCCCCGCTAGTCTATATTTCTCTTTTGAGCATCTGTTCTTACTTCTGAGCCTTCCTCAGATCCACATGAACTAATATTCATTGCCATTTCATTTTGGTATGGTATTTTCCATTGTTCTTGAAGCTGTTCAGCTATGCAGCCAGTGAATTAGTATTTTCACTGTTGAAAATGGTTATGAGACACAGAAAGCTGTGAAGGGACAGCATGGGAAACTGAGGGCCTCATCAACAGGAGGTAAGGTGCTCTCAAAATTTCCACAGAGGTAGAGCTCATAAACATTGGGTCAGTATTATTTTTATGTGCCACAGCAAGCTCTTTGCTATCCCTGAAAGCCCTAGAAGTTTCTCCGTTTCTGATCTAGACCTAGACACAAACAAGTACCAACAAGTGCAGAGTGCTAGGAGACAGGAAAAGAAAGCATAATGAAAATATACCCTTTTTCTTTAGAAACCACATTCTCGGATTTAAAAATTTGAAGATAAGTGGAAGAAAACAGGAGACATAAGAGTTTAAAAGACAATTCACTGTGAAAAATCTCTTTGTCATATGGCTTTCATGGACTTCCCATACTGTAGGAATGGTGGTTTAACAGTGAATTAAAATCTATGGAGTATAACGTTGTAAGAGGACCAATCATACCAAAGGTTATCTGTCATTTCATGCTTTTTCTTTCTTGTTGGGGCATAGCACAGTGAGGTTTTCAGATATATAATGTATCACATGTCTCAGTTCAAATGATTCATGAAGCACAGCTCTAATGGATGCTGGCATATGTGCTGCATGTTGCTATTTTGCCACTTGTTTGTTTCTTTGTTGTGATACCTAAGGTTGAACTCCTAAACTTGCACTTGCCAGGCAGATATGTATCTTGCTGAGCTAAATCCCTGCTCACTGTATTTTGCCTCACTAAGATTCAGTTTCTACTAGTGTCAATAGAGTCAACATTCTTATAAAAAAAGCTTCTGTATAATCTGTAAGAAAACTTCCTACCTCTCAAGGAATTCAGGCCTAAGATTCATAATCACTGTTTTGAATAACTGTATCTACCAGTCATTAAGGAATGATTGTAGACTACTTTCTTAACAATCAAAATATGAGACACCATACATACATACTTGTAAGAGTCTGCTTTTGAGAAAATCTATCTGCTTGCAATCAAGAACATATCAATACTGAGATGAAATGAAGCGGAAACACAGTGGGCTTGTTCATAAGGAAAGCTTAGTCTAGGTAAACATCAGACTTACTGGAAGCACTTTTCCTCACTGTGGTGAACTGAGAGATGTGATGGTGGGGACCAGTGAACCTCTTGCCACAGCCTCCTGAGTTAACTGGGACTCAGGAAGGTGCCAGAAGGATCAACTCTCCAGCAAGCACCCACAAACTTGAAAACAACTCGGAATTTTATAGTAAGTTTTGTGGATACCTGTGAAGTACCCCGGGTCCAAGCTGGTAACATAGGGTATTGAGACATAAGTAAACAACACATTAAAAGTTGTTTTCTCTTATGCATATCAGCACTCTATTTGCAAGTATGGACAACAATAATTACATCTGCACTGTTAATGTCAAAGCCTTCCAAACATTTGGAGAAAAAAACTGACATGATTCTGGGCACATCAAACACTTTAAGGTACTATGATTTTTCCAGAGTCATCTGTATTGCTTCATTTACCTAGTTGGAATGTCGGTATAACTTTCATTCTTACTGCTTTCTTCACAACAGAATCTTTTCCTTCCATGGCAGCCTGAATGGGTTTTAAAGTAAAATGGTTAGTAAACACTCCATGGCTCCTAACTATGCAGTTAATTCAGAACACAAATATACAGTCATTACCTTCCCGTGAAGATGTGTGTCACCTGATTCTGTAAAGGAAAAAGGAAAAATAAACTTTATAAGGAAATATGGGAAAGCCAAAGACACATTCTTGTACTGTGAGGCTTTGGCTGAATCTTCATGCTTTGCTTTGGAAACCCAAATCATGCAACACAGTGAGAACAACTGCCTGACACAAACACAGGTCTGATATTCATCAGTTTTTACCCAGTAAGGTTGACTCACCAGATTCTGGGAATGCTGATGGACTCTTCATCACGGATTCTGCCAGAAGTGGATGTTGATGGCCAAGCATCAATTTCTCAGATCTCTTCAGAGTCTCATTAGACTTTGGTGAAACTCCAATCTGAATCAGAACAAAAAGTTTTACTTATTAGGATGTAATGACAATACAAACATAATTAATATATCAACCCTTTCCTCAGAAGTACTCTCATGTATTTCTCTGACCCACAGTCCAATAATTGTTCCACTGCTTCTGTGCTTGACACTCACTAAGCCAAGTCTGATTGTTACCATCATCTCTCTTTCTTCTGTTTTAACTTAGTAGTATTGTGATTTTCCAACAATCTCTTTAATTTTTTTTTTTTGGTTTTCTTTTTTTGGGTGGGGTATATCATGGATCGAACTCATGACCTTGTGTTTCCCATGCAGGCACTTATACCACTGAACTAAATCCCCTGCTCCACTCTTTAGTTTTTAGTACTCTTGATTGTTAAAACTTTAGGGATATGAATTATATTTCACTGCTTTGAGATGTTAAGTGTGTAAAGAATGAGCAAAGTGTGTAAAAGGCATTGTGAAATAGGGAGCAATTCTTCTAGAGAAAGGGGAAGCAAAGAAGAGGCAGGGTGGATGGAAAGAATGGGGACAAAGACTCCACTGGTTAAGTGAAATGAGTCACAAGCACAAATTTCAATATCATATTGTTTGCTAGTGGGAGAAACTGAAAAGTGTAATGGCCCAACTGTGCAAAAGATAGAAAATATTCAAATAGAAATGATAAAGTGGTGGGAGGGTAAGGAAGTAAAGGATGTAAAGGGGCAAAAAGGAGCAAACAGAAGAAAATGGAAACAAAAATTTTAAATAAGGACAGTAAGATAAGGAGTTGAAGGGAGAAGAAGTGACTAGGGGAAAAATAAATAAGACTATCAGGTACAGGGAGAAACTTCCTTTAATGAATGTGATCCTTATGGATATCTAAAATGCACCAATGAAAGCAATTTGAAAAAATATATGAAAATTATCCACTTGAATATAAACACACTATTTTTTCCCCAGTCAAAGGCATGGATGTGAATGAATATTCTACTTTCAAATGGGGAACTACAATGAGATACACTCTTCAATACATCAGTGTTGTGAGCATTCCCTTCTCCGGGTTTTGATAACATCATAAATTCCTAAGAAAAGTGCTAGCTTTCAGTGACCTAAATGTGCTCATGTACAAACTGGTTTATTCCAGGTGAATCGTGGTGAACCTTTGGCACATGTTGCACAGTGGGCTCTTTGCCATCATTGAAAGGCCTAGAAGTTTGCTGTCTCTGACCTAGGTTCACATTAGTGAATGCAGAGCACCAGGAGACAGCAAAGGAAAGCATAATGAAAATATATCTTTTTTTCTTTATAAATAACATTGGAAGATTTGCAAATTTTAACACAAGTCAAAACAAACAGGAGACATAAGAGTTTAAAAGGCATTTCCCAGTGAAGAAGTTTTTTATCATATGGCTTTCATGGATTTCCCATGTTTTTGGAATGGTAGTTTAACAGTGCATTAGAATTGTTGGAGGCTTAGGTTCTAAGAAGACCAATCATATGAAAAGTTATGTTCCATTTCATGCTGATTCTCTTTCTTGTTCAGGCATAGCACAGCGGGTTTTCAGAGATGTAATATGTCATGTGTCACAGTTCAAAAGATTCTGAATCACAGCTCTCATGAATGTCGACATATGTATGCATGCCATTATTTTAATGCTTTCTTGCTTGTTTCTTTCTTTCTTTTTGTACCTTGGATCAAACTCATCATCTTGTACTTGGCAAGCAGACACTCATGCTGCTGAATTTAATCCCAGGTCCCTATATTTTACCTCTTTCAGATTCAGTTTCTTCTACAGTGTCAATAGATTTCAACATGCTTAAAAATAAAAGGTCCTGTAGAATCTGTAAGAACCTTAACTACTATACAAGGAATTCAGACCTAAGTTTCACAATCACTGGTCTGTAAAATTCTATCTAGCAGGCACCAAGGAATGATTATAGACCCCATTCTTACTAATCAAACTGTAACACACCATACATACACATTCTTTTGTATGTATGCTTTTGTGAACATCTGTCTGCTTGCAAACATGAATATTCTAATAATTAGATGAAATAGAATGGAAATGCATTTGGCTTGTTATTAAGGAAAGCTTTAGTCAAGGTACAAATCAGAATTACTGGAGGCATTTTTGCTGGTGATGTTGAACTGAGAGATAAGGTCCTGGGCACCAGTGAACCTCTTACCACAACTTCCTGAATTAATAGGGACTCAGGGATGTGCCAGAGGACCCAGCACTCCACCAAGAATCCACAAACTTTCAAACCATCTTCAAATATTATAGTTAGATCTGTGGATCCCTGTGAAATATAAGAATCCAAATTGGGAGAGTTTAAGATCATTGCTCCCAGTGGTTAAGTGCCTGCCCAGCTTCCAGCCACACTATACTGATCTCTGCAGCTTTCATGAACTCAAATGGACTATACGCTGTGACCTTCTTCAATCAGTGGAGATGAATGCATTGGAGGTTAGTTCTAGCACATTGGTGCTAGCCTAGGGAGACCTTTGGACCATCCCTAACCCTGGTTAGGAGCTCACCCAGCTTTCTGAAACACTGGAGATGGCATGAAAGTTCCTGTGGGTATGACTGGACCATGATCTGCAACCTCCATTCAGTCCCAGAAGCCAAGGGCACAGGAGACAATTACCAACACACCCAGGGGAAGCTTTGGAACATCTTTTGAAACACAGAATTCTAGGAAAATGACAAGATAGAAGACCAAAATGCAATATCAAACCTCCAGCCCATCCCAAGATAGCCTGGAAACCATATACATAGAAGAAAATATATGCCATATACCTGAAATATCTGAAATAATATGAAATGAATTAAAGAAGCAACTCTGAGAAGTTTTAAAGGAATTCAAATTAGAAATAATCTCTCAAGTAAAAGAAGAAATGATAAAGGTAATAAAAGAAATGCTGAACATATCTAAAGAAGACACAGTTAAATAATTAGAGGAATAATGTAAAAACATAGAATTCATGGATGAACAATTTAAGAAACAAACAGAAGGCATGAAGCAGATTCAAAGAGATATACAGGAAAACAAAAATTTCATTGAAAGTTGTTGAAACTGTCACAAGGAGTGAAGATAGAACTTCAGACCTCGAAGACAAGATTTCAGCTAGTGAACAGGAAAGATATTTTAAAAATAACAAGGAATCAGGAGATAACAATTCAAGCAATGCAACATGATGCAAATAAAAACAAGAGATTGATAGGGATAAATGAAAAAGAAGGGGACAACACAAATGATATGAAGAGGCTATTTACACAAGTAGTAGCTGAAAATTTCCCAAACATGAAAATGGAAACTCACATATGGATTAGTGAAACATATAGAGCTCCAAATAGCCATAACCACCCAGACATATAATAATCACCACCCAGAAATCAAACATAAGAATAGAATAGTAAAAGCTGTTAAAGAGAAAAGACAGACCACCTATAAAGGAAAACATATAAGAATCACAGAAGGCTTCTCAACACAAACAATGAAGTCAAGAAGAGCATGGAGCGAAGTATTTCAGATCCTAAAAGAAAATGACTTCTAACCCAGACTGATATACCCTGAAAAGCTGTCCTTCAAAATGGATGGAGAAATAAGATACTTCCATGACAAAGAACAGCTGATGAACTCCATAAATACCAAACTAATCTGGAAAAGAATACTGAAACACATTCTAGATACACATAGGAAAAGACTACTAAGCAATATTTACCTCGATATGATAAAGGACATCTATGACATACCAATTAAACAGAATAGAAAGGTAAAGATACAACAGCAGAAAGAAAACATGTCAACAATAAATCAGTGTAGAACAGCTATAACCATTAATGTAAATGGAATCAATTCATCCATTGAAAGAAACAGACTGGCAGAATGGATTAAGAAACAACATCAAATCAAACTCTGTCCACAAGAAACCCATCTAACCCAAAAGGAAACTCATAGACTGAAAGTCAAAGGATGGAAAACAATACTTCATGCAACAGGAATTTTAAAAATTGGGGGTAACTATTCTATTTGCAGACAATGTGAACTTGAAACCAAGAATAATCCAAAGAGATAAAGAAGGTCACTACATAGTAGTTTGGGGAAAACTTCAAGAGGAAGAGATAACAATCTTAAATATACATGCACCAAATTCCAGAACACCCAGCTATACAAAGCAAATATTAACAGAAATGAAAAATCAAATAAGTAATAACACAATTATGACAGGAGACCTTAACACACCCTTGGCACTAAGGGAGAGATCAACCAAACAGAAAATCAGCAAACAAATAACAGAACTGAATCATAGCTGTGAACAAATGGATTTGATAAACGTATACAGTGTTCCATTCAACAACATCAGAATACATATTCTTATCAGCCGTACATGGGACATTCTTTAAAAGAGACCATATACTAGCCCATGGAACATATCTAAGTAAATGCAAAGGAGTTGAAATTATCCCATGCATTTTATCAAATCATAGGACAATGAAACTAGAAATTAATGATAAAAGAAATGGCAAGAATCCCCCAAACACATGGAAATTGAATAATACACTCTTGAGCATTCAGTGAGTCACAAAGGAAATTAAAAGAGAAATTAAACAATACCTACAAGCAAATGAAAATATAAATACAACTTACCAGAATCTGTGTGATGCAATGAAAGCAGCCCTCAGAGAAAAATTACACTGAGCTCCCACATCGGGACTATAGAACAAAAACAAGCAACTTGATGCTACACCTCAAACATCTAGAAAAAGAAGAGCAAGTCAAGCTCAAAGCCATAAGAATGGAGTAAATCATAAAAATCAGAGCAGAAATTAATGCAATAGAGACTAAGAAAACAATATAAAGAATCAATGAATCAAAGAGTTGGTTCTTTGAAAGAATAAATAAAATTGATAATCCACTAACCAACCTTTTTTTAAAAAAAGGAAAGAAAAAACTCAAATTCATGCAATAAGGAATGAAAAAGGTGAAGTCACTGCAGACTGCAGAAACACAAAAGATCATTAACACCTATTTCAAAAACCTCTACTTTCATAGGTTCGATGACACAGAAGATATAGACAGATTCCTAGAAACATATAAACTACTAAAGCTGGGTCAAGAAGATGTCAAATTGCTGAATAACCCAAATTCAATTAATGAAATTGAAAACATAATTAAGTCCTTACCTACAAAGAAGAGCCCAGGCCCACGTGTATTCACTGTGGAATCCTACAAGAAATACAATGAAGACTTAATGCCAACACTCCTCAAACTCCTCAATGAAATCAAAAGGAAAGCAATTCTTCCCAAGTCATTCCTGGAAGCAACTGTTACCCTACTACCAAAATCTGAGAAGGACCCAACTAAAAAAGATCTTCCTAAAGAACATAGATGCAAAAATCCTCATTAAGATATTGGCAAACAGGATACAGCAAATCATCAAGAAGATTACACACCATGACCAAGTGGGATGCATCCCATCCATGCAGGGATGGTTCAACAAACATAAATCAATAAATGTAATCCTACATATCAATAGAGCCAAAAGTAACAATCACATGATCATTTCTATAGATGCAGAAAAGCTTTTGATAAGATCCAACACTTATCCATGATAAGAATCTTACAGAAAATTGGAATAGATGGTCTTTACATCAGTATGATAAAAGACATCAATGATATACCAAGAGCCAGAATCATATTAAATGGCAAAGAACTGAAGGCCTTTACCTTAAAATCAGGCACAAGACAAGGATGTCCCTCATCACCGCTCCTATTTAACATAGTACTGGAAATACTAGCCAGAGCAATTAGACAAGAGAGAGAAATAAAAGGAGTAAACATAGGAAAAGAGGAAGTTAAATTATCATTATTTGCAGATGACATGATACTCTACACAGAAGACCCCCAAAACTCCATTGAAAGACTTCTAGATATAATAAATAAGTTCAGCAGTGCAGCTGGATACAAAGTCAATACTCAAAAATCAATTGCATTCCTATACACTAACAACAAAATCACAGACAGAGAAATAAGAGAAGCCACACCCTTCACACTGGCATCCAAAAATATGAAATATTTAGGAATTAATCTCACAATACAAGTAAAAGAATTACAGGGAAAATTATAATACCCTGAAAGAAGAAATTGAAGACATCAGAAAACGGAAAGACATCCATTGTTCATGGATAAGAATAAATATGGTGAAAAAGATCATTCACCCAAAAGTGTTATATACAGATGCAATACAATCCCAATGAAAATACCACTAACAAACCTTACAGATCTAGAGAAATAATGCCTAAAATTCACCTGGAACCAAAAGAGACCTAGAGTAACCAAAGCAGTTTGAAGTAGCAAAGGCAAGACAGGAGGCATCACTATCCCTGACTTGAAGTTATACTACAGAGTTTCTGTAATAAAATCAGCATGGTACTGGAATAAATATGGATCTGAAGATCAATGGAATAGATTATTAGAAGACACAATCATAACTGCAAACACACTCAACCACCTTATCTTTGATAAAGACATGTTCACTGGAAGAATGACAGTCTCTTTAATAAATGGTGCTGGAAAAATGGCTCCTCATATGCCGAAAACTACACCTAGACTCATGCCTATCACCATGTACTAAACTAAAATCTAAATGGATCAAAGATCTGAATATTAAAACAGAAACACTAAATCTGCTGGAAGACAAAAATCTTGAATCTTAGATAAAAATCTTGAAAACATAAGGGTAGGTAGGGAATTCATGAACAGGAATCAAACCACACAAGAAATACTTCCCAGAATCAATAACTGGGATGATGTCCTATTAAAAAGTTTGTGCATGTCAAAAGAAGTCTCCAGCAGAGTGAAAATAAAACCCACAAACTGGAAAAAAAATTCTCACTAAACTGTCCCTCAGACAAAGGACTTTTAAAACATATAAAGATTTTTTTTTTAAAAATGAGACCCCTGAAATTCAAAGACCCAATCCAAAAATGGGCATCTGAGGTGAATACACGTTCTCAGATGAAGAAATGCAAATGGCAAATAAATACATGAAAAAATACTCATCATCATCAGTCTTTAGAGAAATTCAAATTAAAACAACACTGAGATTCCATCTTACTCCAGAAAGAATGACCAGGATCAAGAAAACCACCAACAACAAATGCTGGAGAGAGTGTGGGGAAAAAGGAACTCTCTTGCACTGCTGGTGGGAGTGTAGACTGGTGCCACCACTGGGGAGATCAGTCTCGACATTCCTCAAAAAGCTGAGATTGGAAGTCCCATTTGACCCAGCTATTTCACTTCTGGGCATATTCCCAGAAGAACTGAAAACACCATTCCACAGTGATATATGTGCACCCATGTTCATAATAGCACAATTTGTAATAGCCATATCTTGGAAACAGTCTAAGTGTCCATCAACTGAGGAATGGATAAAAAAGATGTGGTATTTCTATACAATGGAGTACTACTCAGCTATAAAGAAGGATCACATTGAGATATCTATAAATAAATGGATGCAACTTGAGACCATACTCATAAGCAAAATAAAAACTCATATTTAAATACCATATAGTCTCCCTAATGTAAGACATGGTAACAGTACAAAAGGATTTATGGTAGTCTTGATTCCCCATTACATTGCTTTGAAGCCTTATAATGTTTTCATTAATTAGTTGGAAAGGTTTTATTCTGTTTTGTTTGATTTGATTGTGTGTGATGGTATGAACAGCTATTTTGAAGAAAACAAGACATCATGGCAGCCATTGCACTGATGTAATATCATCTTGTTTTGAAGCCCTACTATGCTTTTGTTCTTATGTTTCCATTGGTTCTATCATGTTGCGTCTTATTGGATTTTAATATATGTGATAGTATAAACAAATTTGCTATAGAAAAAGAGTTAATATCATAGCCATTATTAATTTTCTGTTCTTTGGTTCTGAATGCCCTATAATACTTTTATTCTCCTGAATAGTTTTACACTATTTTGTTATGTTTGATACTATCATATGTGAAGGTATACTCAACTATTTCAAATTTTGGTTGCTACTGTTAATATCCAGTTGTCTTGTAGTGAAGTGCTGTATTGCTTACATTGTTCTGCTCTGACCTGCTTTGTTCTGTCTTCTTTTGTCTTAATCTCTTCAAAATAAAACTTAAAATTGTCAATAAAAAAGGATGCAAACTGGGAACATTGGGTATTGAAACATAAGTAAACAACACATTAAAAGTTGTTTTCTCTTGTGCTTTTTAACACCTATTTGCAAACACAGACACCAATACTTACATCTTCAGTGTTTATGTCAAAGCTTTCCAAAATTTGGAGAAAAAATGGAGATGATTGTGGGTACATCAAACACAGTAAGCTACTGTATTTCTTTCCAGAGTCAGGTGTATTGCTAGATTTACCTGGTTGAAATGTCTTTACATCCTTTATTCCTACTGCTTTCTTCGCAACACAATCTTTTGCTTCCATGGCAGGCTGAATGGGTTTTAAAGTCAAATGCTTAATGAACACTCCACAGCTCCAAAATGTGAAGTTGATTCAGAACACAAATATACAGTCATTACCTTCAAGTGAAGATGTGTTTCAGGTAAATCTAAAAAGGAAAATGAAAAACAATCTATATAAGAAAATATGAGAAAGCCGAACATACATTCTCACAGAGTTAGGATACATGCTTTGCTTTGGAAATGAGTTCTTCAGATTTTTGACTTTGCTTTCCCATTGGTCAGATCAATATGAGAGAAAAATTAGAATACAGGTTGAACATGATTTCCAATGTGACATTATTCTTCCAAATGCCATAACTAAACAGGAAGTGAGTATATACCGATCTATACATGTCGGGTGTTGTGAAAAAGTGATTTGGGGATCCATCATGACCCTGAGAGGCTGACTGTCAAAGTTGAAAGAAGAGAACAGCATATAAATTGAACAAACCACATCATCCATTGGTACAGCATTGCACTACACGTAGGTGCTCTCGAGACACCCAGCACAGCAGAGCTCACAAACGGTGTGTCAATGCTATTTATGTTTTAAAAGATGAGGTTTTGTTATGCTGCCAAGGTGCCCTTAAATTCCTGCAAATGAGTGATCCCTCTCCCTCAAATTTTCAAATAGCTCGAACTGAAAGCATACGCACCATGCCTAGTGAGATTTTTATATACTACTCATCAATATCATTACTCCTTACACAAGCAGGTTTTGTGAAAGTTGGGGACATGGCTGAGGAGAAGCTACGTGGGAATTTCTCAGTGATTTCCACTGATATCGCATTGAAGGAATGAACCAAAGAGTGTCTCTATGTTACTTTTTAAAGGATTTGTGTGAAAAAGCTATTTTATCACAACTTACTTATCTTAAAATGAGTCAATGCTTCTATGTGCACATTAATGTCACTTGAATAATTATCAATTTAACAGAAATCTCTGATGCCTGATAGTTTAGGAGGGGAGGGAAGTACCTACAGTGTAAGGCAAGTCTAGCCCTTGTCCTTGCTTCTAATCATCTCTGCAGCAGCAAGAATCGACTTTGCCATTTGTGAGCACAAACACTGAAGCTGTGAGGAGTAAGTGCTCTCATGTTTCATCATTTGTTCCAAAATTATGTTTAGCTTTGTTATTTCCTATTTTCTTTTTTTTTTATTTAAGAGGAAAAAGAGAAAAACACAAAACAAAACAAAGCAGTGTAAGGTTACACATAATACAGAACTACAAAAAAAAAAACATAACAGTAAGAAATCACCTGTTAATAGATTACATAATATCATCTTGGAAATAGTTGCTCAAATCACAGTATCAAAGAATACAAAGTAGACATTCAAACGGAGAGACTGCAAACAGCTGTGTTCAATGATCCAAAAACATTAATATAGTCAGCTATTTAACATCCCTAAACACACTTGTTGTTATATCCGTTAGAGCTCTTTTTTTTTCCCCTCCCTCTCTTTTTTATAACAAAATTTACACATTTTGGATTTTATTACTCCTCAGTTCTCATTACTCTCTTGGGGGGGAGAGAATAAAGTCAAATATGGCAAAACAAAGCTGTAAGTCCAAACCAAGGATAGACATAGCACATGATGTAGAACAGAGTACAAGGTCATCAACAATGGTTATCAACATTGTCTCTTGTTTCCTTAAAAGGAATTGTCCATCTCATTAGATATTATAAAGCCGGACAAAACAGTGGAGAACAAGACCAATAAAACTTAGGCATTGTGAACATTACAGGACTTCCAAAGGAGACAATAGTCAAACCAGAATGGGCATCTTTGTGAATCTTATTGCCTTCAAATTAGTTGCCTATACCTTCAAACTTGCTACTATCGCACAGAATGGAACAGAGTCTAATCAGTCAAAACAAGATCTTGGGAGTATTACAGGACTTCAAAACAAGTTAATAGGAGATCAAAAAGAGTTACTACTATATATCCTAATTTTTTAAGTTTTTCCCTTAATTAAAATAAACATAAGAAATAGCTAAATAATTTTTTTTAAAGAATAGTAGTTACCATAGTGTCTGTCTTTTTCCTTAAAATATTTGGATAAAACTTCATATACTATAGCTTCAAATATTTCCATATCAAAAAGCCCAGAGTAAAGCCTTTCTAATTAATAAGTGAAAATTTTATAAGGCTTCAAGGCCACATAATGGGGAATCATGATTATCACATATTTTTATATATTTGAATCATTACTTACATTAGGGAAACTATTCGGTATTCATACATGCGAGATTGATTTATTTCACTTATGAGTATGGTCTCAAGCTGCGCCCATTTATTGATAAATATCTCAATGCGATCCTTCTTTATGGCTGAATAATACTCCATTGTATAGAAATACCACAACTTTTTTATCCATTCCTCAGTTGATGGACACTTGGGTTGTTTCCAAGATCTGGCGATTACAAATTGTGCTGCTACAAACATAGGTGCACATATATCCCTGTGGTATGATGCTTTCAGTTCTTCTGGGAATATGCCTAGAAGTGGAATAGCTGGAATAAATGGGATTTCCAATCCCAACTTTTTGAGAAACCTCCAGACAGATCTCCACAAAGGCTGTACCAGTCTACACTCCCACCAACAGTGCAGGAGAGTTCCTTTTTCCCCACAGCCTCTCCAGCATTTGTTGTTGTTGGTTTTCTTGATCCTGGCCATTCTTTCAGGAGTGAGATGGTATCTCAGTGTGGTTTTAATTTGCATTTCTCTAATGACCAATGATGATGAGCATTTTTTCATGTATTTATTTGCCATTTGCATTTCTTCATCTGAGAATTGCGTATTCATCTCAGATGCCCATTTTTGGATTGGATCTTTGAATTTTGAAGGTCTGAGTTTTTTTTAATTCTTTATATGTTTTAGCCAAGAGTCCCTTGTCTGAGAGAGAGTTCACTAAAATCTTTTCCCAGTTTGTGGGTTTTCTTTTCACTATGCTGGAGATTTCTTTTGACATGCAAAAACTTTTTAATAAGAAGTGGTCCCAGTTATTGATTCTGGGAAGTATTTCCCGTGCAGTTTGAGTCCTATTCATGAATTCTCTACCTACTCCTATGTCTCCAAGGTTTCTACCCAATTTGTCTTCCAATAGATTTAGCGTTTCTGTTTTAATATTCAGATCTTTGACCCATTTAGATTTTAATTTAGTACATGGTGATAGACATGGGTCTAGCTTTAGTTTTTGGCAAATGGAGAGCCAGTTTTTCCAGCACCATTTATTAAAGAGACTGTCGTTCTTCCAGTGAACCTGCTTGGCTCCTTTATCGAAGATAAGGTGGTTGAGTGTGTTTGTAGTTGTGGTTGTATCTTCTAATCTATTCCATTGATCTTCAGCTCTGTTTTGATTCCAATACCATGTTGATTTTACTACTGTTGCTTTGTAGTATAATTTCAAGTCAGGGATTGTGATGCCTCCTGCTTTGTCTTTGCTGCTTAGAATTGCTTTTGCGATTCTAGGTCTCTTCTGGTTCCAGATGAAATTTAGGAGTGATTTCTCTAGATCTATAAGGTATGTTGATGGTATTTCTATTGGGATTGCATTGAATCTGTATAAGAGTTTTGGGAGAATGGCCATCTTCACAATGTTTGTTCTTCCTATCCATGAGCAAGGGATGTCTTTCCATTTTCTGAGATCATCTTCAATTTCCTTTTTCAGTGTAATACAGTTTTCACTGTATAAGTCTTTCACTTCTTTCGTAAGAGTAATTCCTAAATATTTCATTTTTTTGCTTGCTAATGTGAATAGTCCAGTTTCCCTTATTTCCCTCTCTGTGGTTTTGTTGTTTGTGTATAGGAATGCTATTGATTTCTGAGTATTGATTTTGTATCCAGCCACATTCCTGAATTTATTTATTGTATCTAAGAGTCTTTCAATGGAGCTTAGGGGGTCTTCTATGTAGAAGTCTTCTATGTCATCTGCAAACAATGACAACTTAACTTCTTCTTTTCCTATCTTTACCCCTTTTATTTCTCTTTCTTGCCTAATTGCTCTGGCTAGTACTTCCAGTACTATATTAAATAGGAGTGGTGATAAAGGACATCCTTGTCTTGTGCCTGATTTTAAAGTAAAGGCTTTCAATTTTTGGCCATTTAGTATGATGCTGGCTGTTGGTTTGTCATAAATGGCCTTTATTATATTGAGGTAAAGACCATCTATGCCAATTTTCTGTAGAGTTTTTATCATGAATAAATGTTGGACCTTATCGAAGGCTTTTTCTGCATCTATAGAAATGATCATGTGATTCTTATTTTTGGCTTTATTGATATGGTGAATTACATTTATTGATTTGCGTATATTGAACCATCCTTGCATTCCTGGGATGAATCCCACTTGGTCATGGTGTATAATCTTCTTGATGATTTGCTGGATCCTATTTGCCAATATTTTATTGAGGATTTTTGCATCTGTGTTCATTAGGGAGATCGGTCTATAGTTCTCTTTTTTAGTTGGGTCTTTCTCAGGTTTTGGTACTAGAGTGATATTTGCTTCCAGGAATGACTTAGGCAGGATTGCTTCCCTTTCAATTTCATTGAATAGTTTGAGGAGTGTCGGCATTAGGTCTTCTTTGTATTTCTTGTAGAATTCTGCAGTGAATCCATCTGGGCCTGGGCTCTTCTTGGTGGGTAAGGACTTAATTACATTTTCAATTTCAGTAACCGAGATTGGGTTATTCAACAGTTTTACATCCTCTTGATCTAGCTTTGGCACTTCATATGCTTCTAAGAAACTGTCTATTTCTTCTGTGTTATCAAACTTTTGAGAGTAGAGGTTTTCAAAATAGGTGTTGATGATCTTCTGTATTTCTATTGGGTCTGTAGTGACTTCTCCTTTTTCATTTCTTATTGCATGAATTTGAGCTTTTTCTTCCCTTTTTTAAATAAGGTTGGCTAGGGGCTTATCGATTTTATTTATTCTTTCAAAGAACCAACTCTTTGATTTGTTGATCCTTTGGATTGTTTTCTTAGTCTCTATTGCATTGATTTCTGCTCTGATTTTTATAATTTCCTCTCTTCTTTTGGCTTTGGGCTTGACTTGCTCTTCCTTTTCTAGCTGTTTGAGGTGTAGCATCAAGTTATTTATTTGTATTCGT